AGATGATCTCAGAGAGGGCTAGGGCGCGCGAGCAACATTACCGCTGGTATGCAGGGAAGGTGCAGCTCAGGACGCGCGAGGGATGGAAGCTGGTCCCAGCACCACGAGAGCGAGAAGGGATAGTCGGCCACATGCATCAGCAGCTAGGGCACTACGGACACGTCAGGACAACGCATCTGGTGAACACGGACTGGTGGTGGGGAGGGATGGCGAGGCAGATTCGGCGATTCGTGGAGCAGTGTGAAGAATGTGACAGGAACCGAGCGCAGCTGGCTCAGGGCCGCCAAAAGCTGCACTCGCTGCCCATCAGAGGCCTTGGGTTCCGTTGGTCCCTGGACATGGCAGGAGAACTGCCCATCAGCATGCGGGGGAAGAAGTATGTGATGGTGATGATCGAGCACGTCAATAAGTGGGTCGAGGTGAGGGCTCTCAGCAGCAAGAGTGCTGCGCTCGTGACAGAAGCATTAATAGAACAAGTGCGCACCAGGATGGGAGCCTGCGGCGAAGTATTGATGGACCAGGGCACTGAATTTCGTGGGGAGTTTGATGCAGCGCTGACAACCATTAGCATCAAGCACAAGAGGACTTCATGGTATCACCTGACGAGAAACAAGAATGATTGAACTATGAAACAGGCGGTACAAGTACTAACCCTAATTGGGTTGTACCCCTTATGGGCTACCCCACTACAGCCTACACAGATGTATAAGCTATAATGTTCTGACACACCCCCATAGGCAAAGTGGGGGAGAACAAGTGGTCACAAGACCAGTCAAGCAAAACAAAGCAAGCTTAGGGTGGATCACAAAGTTACCACACAGTTCGAGCACAAGAGCAAGGCCACAAGGCCAGTTCACATGCAAGAACATATATATAAAGGTAAACAAGCAAGTGCAGGTATAGAAAGAGTACACTACAAACAAGATCAAGAAGTGAGCAAGTGAGGCCAGATAGGCACAAGACCTAGCAAAGTACAGAAGCGCTGATGATCACAAGGCGGAAGGGCCTTGGTGAAGATATCAGCAGTGTTGGCCTTAGAGGCCACGTAGGTGAGGCGGAGCTGACCACGGTGCTGCAGCTCACGAGCCAGGAAGTAGTGGAGAGCAATGTGCTTCGTTCTGTGCTCCCGACACAAGGCCAGCATGGCCTTGTTGTCTACGTACAGAACTGGAGGAGAAGGAGGCGACTCTCCTAGGTCAGTCAGCAGGTAGGTGAGCCAGCGTAGCTCCAGTGCAGCCATGGCCCCTGCGTAGATCTCAGCCTCACAGCTGGAGCTGAGAACAGAAGACGAGCGGGTAGACCGCCACGAAACAGAGCCGGAGCCAAGGCTCAAGGTGTAACCCTGTGACGACCGGTGCAGAGCCTGGTCGTCAGCCCAAGAAGCGTCTGCGTGACATGTGAGGACCACTCGACGTCGCCCTCCAAGCACTAGCCCCATGCCCGACGTACTGCACACGTAGCGCAACACCCTCTTCGCTGCAGCCATGTGCTCTGGTCGGTGTCTCCCACGAGCAACATAGCGAGCCAAGATGCTAAGAGGGTATGCAAGGTGAGGTCGTATGCAGGTCATCAGGTACATGAGGCAGCCAACAAGCTCTGGGTACGGGCCACTCGGCTCTACAGACTCATCCGAAGGCAGAGCTGAGAGCGAGTGGCGAGTAGACAGAGGAGTGGCCTTAGGCGAGGAGTACATGAAGCCGAAGCGCTGAAGGACCTGCTGCACCATGTGTGACTGAGTCAGGGTAATGGTGCGGCGTGCTCTGTCCCGGGTGATCTGCAAGCCAAGGTAGCTACGCAGTTCACCCAGGTCTGTGCACGTGTGTCTATTCTGCAGCTCCGACTTCACGTGGGCGAGTCCAGTAGTGTCAGCAGTGGCAAAGACCAAGTCGTCGACGTACACGAGGATGTAGAACGGCGGCAAAGAGGTGTCGATGCGCAGAAACAACAACGTGTCGTCAGTAGAAGGAGCAAACCCAAGAGTCGCAAGCGTAGTCCTCAGTGTGTCGTGCCACTCACGGGGCGCCTAGCGGAGACCGTAGACTGGCCGCTTAAGGCTCCACAAGGTACAAGGAGGAAATGACCCAGTGAAGCCAGGTGGGCGGCGCAGCCAGATCTCCTCGTGCAGGCTGCCCTGCAGGAAAGCAGTGCTGAAGTCAAGAGAGTGAAGCTCGTAGTCGCGCTGAGCGGCTATGTGCAGCAGCACCCGAAGAGTGGTCATCTTCGGGGTGGGAGAGAAGGTCTGAAAGTAGTCAACTCCCTGCCGCTGACTGATGCCTCGAGCAACGTAACGCACCTTGAAGACAGGCGGAGAACCCGGCGGCCGCTTCACCCTGAAGATCCACATGCCATTGACGATGTTCGCCCCAGGTGGGGGAACCTCGTCAACGTAGGTGCCTTTGGATCCAGGAAGCCATCTCTGCATCCATGGCCGACTGCCACTGAGAGGAGTAGGGACCCTCGATCGCCTCAGCATACGATCGAGGAGTCGAGATGTGTAGTGCCTCCGGGTCTCTGTCAGGGGCAATCAGCGTGGACACGAGATGGGGCAAAGCAACAGCAAAGCACTGGAACTCCTCCTGCCTGTCCTCAAGGACGTCCGTGCTAAGAGCACACTCACCCCCGAGGGACGGAGGACAGATAGACTCAGACTCAGTAACGAGACTAGCAGCGTAGTCTAGACGACAGCGAGCAGAGAAGTCGACAAGCTCAGCAACTAGGGCAGACACAGCAGTGGACTCAAAGGAAGGGTTACTGACAATAGTAGCTAGGAGAAGTGTGACAGAAGGACTAGTAGCATGAAGGGAGTCAGACTTCGGGTCAGCAAGAGTAGGAATAGAGGACTCTGGATGAGGCGGCAACGGGACATGCAGAGGAGCACTGGAAGGACGCAGCGCCATCTGGTGTGTGCTGGGGACCGCAGGAGGAGGCGGACGCGTGGTACGACCACTAGTGGGAGCAGTTCGAACAGGCAACGAGGGACGAGACGCAAGCTCACGACGCTCAGCAAGACCTCCAGTAGGGCCAATGTAGGGAGAAGGAGCAGGTAGAGGGGAGGCGGGCTATAACTGTGACTAAGACTGGACAGGTTGTGGACACTCTAAGGGAGGAGTAGGACCAATAGAGGGCAGGAGACCAAGAACCTGCTCCAGGAGCGGAACGAAGTACAGCCTCGTCCGTGCAACGCCTCCAGAACCAACAGCGCCAACTCCAGCACCCTCAGAAGCACTAGCGCCAGCCGCACCGCCAGCGTCAACACCCCCAGCAGCTCCAGCTCCAGCAGCTCCAGCTCCAGTAGGACCAGCTCCAGTAGGACCGTCAGCTCCAGCAGCCTCAGCAGCACCCCCAGACGCACCAACGCTAGTAGAAACAACAACACCAACACCCCCAGCAGCTCCAGCTCCAGCAGCAATGGTACCGCCAGCAGCTCCAGCAGGACCAACTCCAGTAGACCCAGCAGCACCCCCAGTCCGAGCAGCACCAGGACCGCCAGCACGAGCACCTCCGGGACCAGCAGCAACACTAGCACCTCCAGCTCCAGCAGCACGTCTCCAGCGGCGGGCAAACCATTCGCGCTACTCTTGCGGAGAGAGCGGCTCCCGTGTCTACGAAGCACCGCCGGCAGCCACACGAGCAGACCCAGCGCCCCTAGGCTCCGCACCCCCAGACCCAGCACCCCCAGGCTCAGCATCCCCAGACTCAGCACCCCCAGACTCAGCACCCCCAGTCTTAGCACCCCCAGTCTCAGCACCCCCAGACCTGGCACCCGCAGGGTCAGCACCTCTAGCAGCACCAGAGTCAACAGCTACCTCGACAGGCTCGACTGCGTCTACCTGGGACACACCTGTCCGGGCAGGACCCTGAGGGGGGAGGGGGTCTACCAAGGGAGGACCTGGCGCAAGGAAGAGCGGCGGCGAGGGGAGGGGCGCAGTGCGGTAGGGGAAGAGACGGTAGTAAGGCACCGACTCGTCAAAGGTGATGTCGTGGGAGGACAGTACCCGGCGCGAGGTGGGGTGGTAAAACTGCCACCTAGGCACGTCAGGGGGGAAGCCAAGGAAGACGCAGGGAACAGCACGGGGGGACAACTTGTCTGCAGACAAGTCGCGGACAAACGCCCGAGATCCCCAGACCCGAAACGCAGTTGCATCACCAACCTTCCCGGTCCACCGCAAGGCGGGGGAGGTATCTGGCAAGGAGACCCGGAGCTGAAGATTGAGCTGATGCGCGGCATACTGAACCGCAAACAGCCACAGAAATAGGGGGGCAGCCGCATGCATCATGGACGTACGAGCGACGTCCATGACCATGCCAATGCGGCGCTCAGCAATCCCATTTTGCTGTGGAGAGGCCAGAAGCGTGAAGGTGTGGCGTATGCCTTGTGCACGATAGAAGGCTCCCAAATGGGCAGAGGAAAACTCCCCGCCTCTGTCCGAGTGCAGACGCAGAACAGGAAAGTCCGAGCCCAAACTCTCCCTGAGCTGGAGACGAGCTGCGAGGATCCAGTCGATCAACACCTCAGTGACGTCACCCTTGTTGCGCAAGGGGAAGATTGTGGTGTAACGTGAGTAGTCGTCAACCACTAGCAGAAAGTACCGCTCGCGCCCCTGCCCACTTACGCGGGCGGGGCCCAACACGTCCATGTAGAGAGTCTGCAGCGGAGCCTCTGTCGGAGGAAAGTCAGAGGAGTGAGGGGCGGCGCGCTGTCGCCCCTCGAAGAAGGGGACGTAGGTAGGGCCAGGCCCCGGAGGTAGGGGAGGGAGAGACCGAGGGAGACCAGAGACAAGGACACGGGAAGCCATGCCTCAGAGACGAGGCAAGGAGGGGTGACCAAGGCGGTGGTGTCAAATGAGAGTCTGGTGGGACAGTAGACGACACGAGCAAACACCTGACTCGACGCAGCTACCTGGGCAAACTCAGCAGCCGGAGGAGACTCAGTAATAAGGGTGTACAGGCTCGACCCTGGCCGACGGGTGAACGTGGGCAAGTGTTGGCATGCCTAAACCCTAGACGAAGCACACGAGCATACCCAGCGCCCCAAGGCTCCACACCCCCAGGCTCAGCATCCCCAAGCTCAGCACCCCCAGACTCAGCACCCCCAAGCTCAGCACCCCTAGTCTCAACACCCTTCGACTCAGCACCCCTAGACCCGGCACCCACAGACCCAGCACCTCTAGCAGCACTAGAGTCAACAGCTACCTCGACAGGCTCGATTGCGTCGACCAGGGACACACCTGGCGGGGCAGGACCCTGAGGGGGGAGGGGGTCTACCCGGGGAGGACGTGGCACAAGGAAGAGCGGCGGCGAGGGGAGGGGCGCAGTGCGGTAGGGGAAGAGACGGTAGCAAGGCACCGACTCGTCAAAGGTGACGTCCTGGGAGGACAGAACACGGCGCGAGGTGGGGTGGTAAAACCGCCACTTAGGCGCATCAGGGGGGAAGCCAAGGAAGACGCAGGGAATAGCAAGGGAAAACAACTTGTCCGCAGACAAGTCGCGGACAAACGCCCGAGATCCCCAGACCCGAAACGCAGACGCATCGCCAACCTTCCCGGTCCACCGCAAGGCGGGGGAGGTCTTTGGCAAGGAGACCCGGGGCTGAAGGTTGAGCTGATGCGCGGCGTACTGAACCGCAAACAGCCATAGAAAATGTGGGGCAGCCGCATGCATCATGGACGTACGAGCGACGTCCATGACTATGCCAATGCGATGCTCAGCAATCCTAGTTTGCTGTGGAGAGGCCGGAAGCGTGAAGGTCTGGCGGATGCCCTGTGCACGACAAAAAGCTCCCAGACTGGCAGAGGAAAACTCCCCGCCTTTGTACGAGTGCAGACACAGAACAGGAAAGTCCGAGCCGAAACTCTCTCTGACTTGGAGACGAGCTGCGCATATCCAGTCGATCAACACCTCAGCGACATCACCCTTGCTGCGCAAGGGGAAGACTGTGGTGTAACGCGAGTAGTCGTCAACCACCAGCAGAAAGTACCGCTCTCGCCCTTGCCCACTGACGCGGGCTGGGCCCGACACGTCCATGTGGAGAGTCTACAGCGGAGCCTCTGTCGGAGGAAACTCAGAGGAGTGAGGGGCGGCGCGCTGTCGCTTCTCGACGCAGGGGACACAGGTAGGGACAGGCCCCGGAGGTAGGGGAGGGAGAGACCGAGGGAGACCAGACACAAGGATACAAGAGGCCATGCCTCGGAGACGAGGCAGGGAGGGGTGACCTGACCAAGGCGGTGGTGCCAAAGGAGAGTCTGGCGGGACAGGACACGACACGAGCACGGAGCAGACTCGGGACCAGACCTGGACGCTGCAGCAAACAACTGACTCGACGCAGCTACCTGGGCAGACTCAGCAACCGGAGGAGACTCAGTAGTAAGGGTGTACAGGCTCGACCCTGGCCGACGGGTGAACGTGGCCAAGTGTCGGCCTGTCCGAGCACACGTGCAGTGGGTCACTCGCGGACTCGCAGGAGTGAACTGGTCAACCCCTCTATCCTGTAGGTCCGCTCCACTCACCAAGTTTGTAGAGAACGAGGGGAGGTAGAGACCTGACAGGGTGCCAGAGGGGGCTGCCGGGCACGGTAAGACAGTGGAGAAGCTAGCAAGGACAGGACCCCCAGAGGGGTCCGCCAGGGAGACTGCAACTGGCCTACTGAGCGGCGTAAGAGTGGTGTGGTCTCGAAAGAAGGAGCAGGACGCACCCAAGTTAAGGGTGAAGGTGTGTGAGGCCTGAGCCGACGAAGTACCTGAGAGAGCAGACTCACCAGCACCTGGGGCAGCAGACGCACTAGCACCTGGGGTAGCAGACGCACTAGCACCTAGAGCAGCAGCCTCACCAGCACCTAGAGCAGCGGCCTCAATGCCCAGGTCAGGCGGTACACACAAGTAACAGTCACCCGCAACATTAGTATCAACAGCATACATGGCAGCAAGATAAGCATAAAAAAAAGGATCAAAGATAGCAACCCTCGCCTTTGACAGATCTCCCCAGCGAGGGATCTCTGATGCCTCACAGAACTGGCGACGCCACGCGTCCGTCAGGCGACCGAAGCAGCGCTCGGTGGAGTGCGGGCCTCCGCACTGCTCACGAGCTCGGTCGCCGGTACGGAGGACGTAAGTGTACGGACCAAAACCCCCACCGCGCTGACGCGCAGTGTACCACTCACAAAGCTGCTGAGGGGACAGGGTCACACCACTCCGCTGTTGCTGGCGCAGACCACCACCTGAGCCACTCCTCTACGCAGAGTCGCGACCCGCTCCACCACCGCCGCTGCCGCCGCCGCCTCCGCCGCCTCCTCCACCTCCGCCTCCTCCGCCACCTCCGCCGCCTCCGCTCCCTCCGCCACCTCCACCGCCTCCGCCGCCTCCACTGCTGCCGCCGCCGCCGCCATCCCCGGCACCACTCCCACCACCAACTCCACTCCCTCCACTGCCTCCACCACCACCTTCACCGCCCCCTCGAGCCCCTCCAGTACCCTTGCCCCCCTTGCCCTTGCTGGTGCGGCGTCTCCCACTCGGGGCAGACGCAGCGCCGACCGACTCGAAACCAACAAGGTCGGCCGCAGAAGCAGAAGCAACAGAGGGCAACAGAGGGGAGGGAGAACACCCCTCAATGACGGGGGTGCGAGGGTCACCACGAGAGGCTCCTATATTCACTATGCTCTTCTCTGCCGCTAGGAGGGCCTTCTCGAGGAGGTCAACGGTGAGATTGGTGGGGCAAACTGAGAGGAAATGGTCCCTGACTACGTGAAGAGAGTCAGGGAGCCGAGTGACTATGTAGTAGAGGGTGATGTACATGGGGGGGGGGGTTCTTGGCGCAGAACTCAGCAGAAGCACAGCACGGTAGCGAGTGTCACTAGTGCGGAGGTGCGTAATGAGGTCAGAGTCTGTGGGAAAGGCAGCAAGGTCGGGGAAGAGGTAAGGTAGCATGAGGCGGCTCAGTGCAGCAGTGGCAGGGGAAGAGTAGCGTGCAACTACAGCGTCGTACAAGGTCTGAGCACTCTTGTACTGGCTAAAGTGTGCACACTCAGTGGTCGGTAGGTGGCGACGAACAGCAAGGTGAGCAGCAGCATCGCGTGTGGCCCACTGTGAGCGAACAGTGCTGTCAGCAGTAGCAGGTGGGACAGGAGAGACACCAGAGGTGAGATCGAATAGAGAGAGTCCGTCTGCCCTATCGTATTGGAGAAACAACTGGAGGTCATCGACCTAGACCTCAAAGTCAACGGCACAGCCCTCAGCATCAAAAGTGAGGACACTAGGGGTAGCCATGACTGCAGTGGCCTAGGAGGAAGCGAGCTCACTAGTCCGAGGAAGGAGGGGCCTGGGAGCACCAATAGAAACAGCAGCTACTAGACAGTAGGGCGGCTCGGCGGCTCGGCGGCAGGGCGGCTCGGCTGCTAGGCGGCTCAGCTGCAGGGCAGCTTGGCTGCTGGGCGACTCCGCGGCAGGGCGGCTCGGCTGCTTGGCGGCTTGGCTGCTCGGCGGCTTGGCTACGGGGCGGCTCGGCTGCTGGGCGGCTCGGCTGCTCAGTAGGTGGGCGGCTCGGCTGCTGTGATGCTTGGCGGCTCGGTCGCTAGGCGACGGAGCGGTGATGGGGCCGCTAGGGTAGGGTGACGGGGCCGCGGGTGACGGCGATAGGGCCGTAAGTGGCGGCGGGGCCGCAGGCGGCGGCGAATGGGCCGCAAAGGGGGCCTAGACGGGGCCGCTGAGGGGCGGAGACGGGGCCGCAGAGGGGCCTAAACGGGACCGTAAGGGGCCAGTCGGGGCCGCGGAGGGGCCTAGACGGTGCCGCGGAGGGGCCTAAACGGGGCCGTAAGGGGCCAGATGGGGCCGCGGAGGGGCCTAGACGGGGCCGCAAGGGGCCTAGACGGGGCCACAGAGGGGCCGTAAGGGGCCTAGATGGGGCCGTAAGGGGCCGTAGGGGCGGCGCGAGGGGCCTTAGAGGGCGGCACGCAGGTCCGTAGGGGGCCGTAAGGGGCCATAAGGGAGGCAAGAGGGGCCTAGAGGGTGGCGCGAGGGGCCGTAAGGGCGGCCAAAGGGGCCACTAAGGGCACACGAAACGCGGCTCGGGTAGGAGTGAAGCGCGCTCCGGGCCGGGAAAAAAATCATGGTGGGCCCTAGGTAGCGTTCCCACTAGGGAACCTGCTTGATACCATGACGAGAAACGAGAATGATTGAACTATGAAAGAGTTGGGTACTAGTACTAACCCTAATTGGGTTGTACCCCTTATGGGCTACCCCACTACAGCCTACACAAATGTATAAACTATAATGTTCTGACAGTTGGCTGCCTCATGTACCTGATGAACTGCACACGACCTGACCTTGCATACCCTCTTAGCATCTTGGTACACTATGTTGCTCCTGGTAGATACCGACCAGAGCACATGGCTGCAGCGAAGAGGGTGTTGCGCTACGTCGGGCATGGGGCTAGTGCTTGGAGGGCGACGTCGAGTAGTCCTCACAGGTCACGCTGATGCTTCTTGGGCTGACGACCAGGCTCTGCACCGGTCGTCACAGGGTTACACCTTCAGCCTTGGCTCCGGCTTTGTTTCGTGGCGGTCTACCCGCTCGTCTTCTGTTCTCAGCTCCAGCTGTGAGGCTGAGATCTACGCAGGGGCCATGGCTGCACAGGAGCTTCGCTGGCTCACCTACCTGCTGACTGACCTAGGAGAGCCGTCTCGTTCTCCTCCAGTTCTGTACGTAGACAACAAGGCCATGCTGGCCTTGTGTTGTGAGCACAGAACGAAGCACATTGCTCTTCGCTACTTCCTCGCTCGTGAGCTGCAGCAGCGTGGTCAGCTCCGCCTCACCTACGTGGCCTCTAAGGCCAACAGTGCTGATATCTTCACCAAGGCCCTTCCGCCTTCTGATCATCAGCGCTTCTGTACTTTGCTAGGTCTTGTGCCTATCTGGCCTCACTTGCTCACTTCTTCATCTTATTTGTACTGTACTCTTTCTATACCTGCACTTGCTTGTTTACCTTTATATATATGACCTTGCATGTGAACTGGCCTTGTGGCCTTACTTTTGTGCTCGTACTGTGTGGTGACTTTGTTATCCACCCTGAGCTTGCTTTGTTTTGCTTGACTGGTCTTGTGGCCACTTGTTCTCCCCCACTTTGCCTATGGGGGTGTGTCAGAACATTATAGCTTATACATTTGTGTAGGTTGTAGTGGGGTAGCCCACAAGGGGTACAACTTAATTGGGGTTAGTACTTGTACCCAACTCTTTCATAGTTCAATCATTCTCGTTCTGATTCCGACAATAGAAACTATGCAGAACCGTTCCACCCAGAGCTTGGCGCCCACAAGCGGTACCTCGAGAGCTCCCTTCTTCTCCCCGTACATTTCCGTTCCCTGTTTGTGTGGAGTGGGTGAGTGAGTGCGTCAGGCATGGCCGTTCCAGCGCACGCGATCGGATGGTTGACATGGAAACAGTAATTTGTTGCGCTGCATCCATGCCGTCATGGCTATCTTGCAGCTTCATTTCCGCTCGTTTAGGAGGTTCAGACCGGTTGGTTAGGGTTCCTCCTACCTCCTGGACCCAATCACGGAGAAACCCTAGTAGCCAGTCCAACTTCGATCGATCTAAGAGAAGAGGAGGATCCCGTCTCATGGGAATTTCATGAGAAATTTAGTTCATTCAACAGAAATTTTAGTTCTCCCTGAAAGTTTAGTTCATCCCTTGCCTTGTCTCTGTCATATCCTTCTCTCGGTTCCTTGTGCGCTCGAACTAGCAGAGGTACGTGATGGCGCTTTTCTTCTGAAGTGCCTCAAACCCTTTTCGTCGTAGCGGTTATTCCGGAACCCGCGGTGGTGCGTCAATTTCGCCCTGACACCATGCCCACCACGCAAGGCTTCCCGCAAGGCTCGAACGGTCCGATCTGCTGGGTATGAACCCTTCTTACCAAACATCTGATCTCAGCGAGATCTGGCCAACAGTCTTCCCGACATATTAATTGCTGTAGATCCTTCGCATATGCTCGTGCTTCTGCTCCTCTTTTAATTCCTTTCTCTCCCATTTCATTTCTCCCGTTGTGGCTTCTAGACGCTTCCAGGTTCATTCTGTAGGAAGATCCGTTCTCTTTGAAACGCCGTCGTGAACTCAATTCTGGATGAAACTATTTGTGTGAGCTCTTTCTGGATAGGTCTCTAAGTGACGAATCCGTAGCACCAAAGAACACAAAGATCGCCCAAGAAATGAGAACGGTAGTTTCAATAATATAGGGCTAGGTACAACATTCCAGAGAGGATTCACTTCTCAATTACAAGTGATCTTTTATACTCCATAAGATAGAAATCAAGAATCTCCCTATAGTCGAACCGCACTTGTAACCGAGCCGCGTGCAATTTCGTAACCCACCCCAATTGCAATTTTGACGGTGGAATTTCGGAATAGGGGTTACATCACAAAAAACCTTGATTTTTGAAGGGGGTTCGAAGGGGGGTACAGTTCAGGTGTTTTGGTTGGCGAAGTTCCGAAGCCAGATCGCGACCAATCACGGAATGAATTCGGACCGCGTTTGTTTGTCGAAGTCGAAATCGAATCCGCGACTCCGGTACATTGACAGTTTTTTGAAGTTTGCCAATTTTGTTCTAAATTTGTAACTGGTTTTGTAAACTTTGACTTCCCTGAAATGTGACTGCATGAATGCATCACATTTGATACTTATTAAGGAGATAGGTACTGTCTAGATGGAATGCCTTCACCACATGGACGTGGCGGAGCAGCGCTTCAATGGGAATCACGGAGTACGCGTACATTCCTGTTGTCCACTTGAGGCGAAGGCATCCTGTTGCTGTATCCTCTCCGCTTGCATTCCAATATCTAACGTAAGCCAGCTCCTCCCTCTCTCCACGTATTTTGGTATGGAACAACAGAAGCAACCTTGCATACCACTCCTCTCTCCGACCATACCTTACACCCTCCACTGCAACATCCGAGTACCATGGCTTCTCAAAATAGTCAGGGGTCGCTCGAACGAAGTGAGACACTCTTGAGAAGCTGGCGTCGTCTGCTGCAGGGATTGCCAGCGATGCATGGGCCTGCATAACAGTTGATGTTAGTCATGTATGATACGAGCCAGCCAAAATGATGGTTGATTGCATAAACTTGCAACTACTTACTCGAATCTTGGTGACGCATCCTGCATAACGCATAAGCGCATCCTTGAGGGCAGCTTGGGCACGAGGGTGTTGCTTGGCCCACTTCCTTGCAAACCAGTTGGTAGAGGTGGATTCTTGTGACAACTCCACAGGGAGGGAGTATGACTCCTTGATGAGCGTCCGTGTGTCGGTCTCAATCGCCTGCCAAGATATGCTATTGATATTATTACATTCTGCATTCATATCCATGCAATTCAAGCACTAAACAGATTTACCTGCCGCATGGCGGTGTCCCGACCGGCAGGATCATCCACCGGCACCACATCTGGAATGCGCCTAGCATGGAACTTCATGATCTGCCCATCTACATTGCGCTTGTTGGACCGACGGTAGATCCTCTTTACCAACGGTCCGTGCAAGTGCTCGAACATGTTGGTGCTGAATTCAGTCACATGACCCGCCCGACGTATGGAGTCGATGTAGTGCGACATGAGATGTGTTTTCACAAGGCACCAAGAGGATGGCTGCTTTGGAAACGCAGCCTGCAACTGCTCAACGAGCCTGATGGGAGTGGGAGATGACAACACATGCATTCACAGAGTCTACTTATTCATATGCTTTTCCTATTCCTGATCCTTTTCATCAAAGTTTAGCAGCAACATCCTCACAAGATTGCCTACTACAAGAGCACATTTACAGTAGCCAAGCATACATCCCATGCACAGGGATTTACATGCGTGATGTTATTACCGAGAGGTCATCTTCTTCAGCTCCCGGAGGGACCGCTCAGTGTGCCCCTGTGGCTGGGAGCACAGGATGTAC